AATAAAGCGCACCCTCTGTAGCTCCGTCGTTTAGCAAACAAAAGGGGAGTTTAATTTGATCATTAACAAATTAATATAGATTACTTTCGTCCAAACAAACGTTATTTATTCCTCGTTAATTAAATTAATAATAAATTTAAATAACAGCATCAATAGTCGGGACAAGTAGAACACGATGTAATGCTCTCTGCAACGTGAACCCGGTTGAATAAACAAAGGAGGTGCATGAATATAAAAAAAAAGAAAGCCATAAATCAACGCTGACCTCGAAACGGGTTAAGAATGAACCGTGGTACGAAATGAAAAGCGTCGAACTTCTGAGCACGTCACGGTTGCCGCGAATTTAATAAAGTAAAAGACAAACCGAGGGAAAAGAAAAGGGTCGGGTTATCGCGGCAAGGTTTTCGGGGGTTAATTGGGGATGAGCAATTAAGTGTCAGAAGGGCTTCTGCTCCCGGATGACGTATTTCCGTAATATTTACGCGAAGAAAAACTGTAGTACGTGGGGGGCGTTCAGCGAGCTCGATAGAAGCATCCTCGCAGCGAGATAAGTTCGCTGACGCGTTATACTTTTTTTTTTTTTTTATATTTTCTGCTCCCCGGGACCGTACGTCGAGTAGCTGAAACGGGAACACCGGATACGCCGGTGCCTCTGCAGGAAGTACTACGTTAAGAAATTCTCTTTCCGGCTTTGCCGCTCCACGAGCACCGAATCACGCGTATGCGCATATAAATTGCAACCTGGACGTATCTATCGGTGCAGTATACCGGCTCGATTTTTACCGATCGTAAGTGCATTCTAACAGGAAAATTGCAAGGGCTGCTGTTCCGTAAACCGTACGCCATTTCGCGGTCGTTGCATCGTGAAATTGAATTGTTTAACTGCTTGACTGACGCGGTAGAAACAGCCCTTGTACTATTATATCTTTCTAAACCACTTTCGATATTAATAATTTTATAAAATCGAAAGAATTTGGTGAAATCAGTTCGGTAGTCAGAGCGATCGAAGATTTATGTGGGCGGAGGTGGAAAAATGGGCGAAACGTGTATCGTCCTTTTCTTCGCATCATTCAAGTTCCAACGCGTTTTTACGCAGAACGAGCATGGGAAACGTTTCTTCGAACGAATAAAGATTTTTTGCCCGGAATAAATTGACGGCCTGGTGGAAACAGCCTTCGTCGAGTCCTGAATATGCGAACGAGATGGCGGTCGTCGCGGCGCCGTGGTGCCGTAGCAAAGGCTGAAAGGAAGGCCGAACAAAAACCTCCTTCGCACCAGCTGGCCAACCTTCTCTCCTATTTTTTCTTTTTTTTTTTTTTTATCAACAGTCTGGGTCTTCGTTCTTGCTCGACGAGATGTTCAAAAATCGCTTAGCCTTGGTAGATAGACGCTCGATAAGGGAAACCACCGACTGATATACGACGTAACTTCCTTCCTTTGTCGTGTCGCAACCACCTACAAGCCCGGCGTATCCTCCTTCTATCGATGTCCTTTGGAAATACAGTTTTCTTATGGTTTAGCTGGAACGGGGGATGATGGGAAAATTCGAGGTAGGGGTTGTTCTTTTAACACGGTGATCCGCAGTAGAAATATCGATATCTGGTCAGGAACACGACATGGGATAACGAGAATTTTTTATGGGTCGGCTGTATCCCATAGAAATGTTGACATTCTGGAATTTTTGAACTTATGATAAGTTTTGGTCTTCTGGAATTTTGGAATCTATGAAATTTTAAGCTTTGGTCCTCTAGAATTTTGGAATTTATGAAACTTTGGTCCTCTGGAGTTTTGGGAACTTGGAAATTAGAACTTTTAAAATTTAAAATTGTGATTTTCTGAAGTTTCGACAACTTGAAAATCAGGCCTTCTGAAATTTGTGAAATTTGAAATTTTTTTCCCTTTCAAGTTTCGGGAACTTGAAAATTAGGACTTCTTGAATCCTAAAATTCTGAAATTTTATAATCTTAAAATCTTTAAATGCTGAGCCGTTAATAATTGTTAAATAAATGCAATAAATAAATAATGCTTCAATTTGCTAGCTTAATATCATATTAAGATTAACTTTTCCCAGTATTTCCTCACTAAAGCTCGTAGGAATGTTTTATCGTCGAGCGAAGGGACGAGCTGACGTATGCGGAGCTTTTTATTTTTATTCATCTTCTCCTAATTTTCAGACAACAGCCGGGGAACGCCCTTCGCGGTCTATCCCTCGAGATAGCATTTTTATTCTGCTGTAATAACGCGGGAAACTCGTTTACGTCCGGTCCAGGGCGTTCCTCCGCCCACCGTTCAGAAAATATTCGCCCCATTACACGGATACTTTGAGAATCCTGACGCGATCCGCCTAATTTCAAACTTCCTTCCGTACGTTTCTCTTGAAAAATTAATCGTAAATCAACGAAGATATTTCACAAAATTATTCAATAAAAAAAAAAGGAAGAAGACGAATTAACGAAAGAATGTTCGATTTGCAATGATATAAAACGAGTATAAGAATCGATTCGACGTGTTTCGCGTTCCATTTTAAGCGGGAAAGAAGTGTCGATAAAATTCCGAAGCAACAAATTGCCAGGAGAGCTGTAAGTTCTCTTGTCGCTCAAGCATCGAGAATGCGTTGCCTTTCCTTTGTCTAGGACTCGTTCATCTCTGTTCTTTCTTTTCCGCGATTCGTATCACGATTTCGTTTTCAAGACACACGATGTGCCCCGGCAACGTTACAAGGAATTCTCATAGCATTCTACCCGTTGATCCTGGAAGGCGACGGACTTACGTTCCACCTTACGAACGATAGGGCTCGATTTGTCAAAGGGACAGGGACACCCTTCGCATGTAAATAAATCCATGTCCAATTTCCCGTTCGCTGTTTCATCATTCTCGCGTTCCATCGAACGTCTGTCACGGGTTAAACTTTATCACAGGACTAAAGAGAAAATACCACCGGAAGCAGTATCAATTTCAAACCTTTGAAACATTCGAATATCAATGAATCTCTACGATGTTCAACAATGCGTTAAATGATATTGAAAATATATTTCTTTTATATCCGTCTATCTTATTCTTCGGTATTATTGATCCACCATTATCCGCGATACAGATCGTTTCTTCCCTTCGACTCCATACGTTTCAACGATTCCTTCGAATCCCATTCGAACCTTCCTTTTTATCCACGAATAACAGGCCGGTAAGCCGGTAGCCACGCCCCTTTTGAATATTTCCTCCCGCTGACCAGAAGTGCCATGCACTATCCGCGAAGCGAGGAATCTGCATTATGCACGTCCCGGTGCATAATTCCTCGCAACGGCGGACGAAGAAACCCCTAAGATCCTGTCGTTGGAAAATTTCTCACCCTCTCCGGGGATACGGTACTCGAGATGTGTATCCGGTTTCAGACGTTTTTCCAGCTTCGTTGTTTCTTTCGCATCTTCAGAAAAAATTTCTCCGAGGTGTCGTTAAACGTACCCCACCCCCTCGAATTCCCTGCACGCGTACCACCACGATAAACCGGTGAATAGACACATGGTTGGAAACGACATCCGGTAAAAGTGAGGGAAAAGAAACGCGACGGAATGGTTAGTAAAGGGAGGGAAGGCGATAGAAGGAGATGGAAAGGGAAAGCGAAGCTGAAATTACGTGGGACAGACCGAGGTGGAGATAGGGTGTGTAACTGGGGAGGAAAGTGGATCTCGGTATGGGGATGGAAACACGTTCAGCTATTCTTTCCATTCCGTTCGTCTCCGGAGGCAGGGCGATACAGAAGCTTCTCTGTTTTCTTTCGACATCCAATTTCCATAACATTAGACTGCTTACACGTAAACAGACGGCGACGCGTTTCACCCGGACGCCTCTGTTTAGGATCGTCACCCAATGAACAGTGGGGGTTCCGGTTATACCCCGTTTACACGACCGAATGTTATCTTTCTTCTTTTCTTTAGATAACCCGGCCGTTTCGAGGCCGTCTTATGTCCCTTAACGACGATACCTTCCGTTTCTAAGGGATGGAATCGGGGAAACTCACGATTATGGTTCTTCTCTCAGACTTTTGAGACCTCTCGAAAGGAGAAATTAATGTTAGAATTGTAAATTTATCACTTTTAAAAATATTTCTCTCGGGGCTGAAAATTCGAGTTGAGGGTTGAGAATTTTTCGAAACTGGACTTCACACGATTTTTTAATTCAGGCTAATTATGAAATCTTAACAAATTAATTCGGGAGTACATCTGCAAAAATCTCGAACAATTCTCGTGCACGCGAGTTTTACTAGCGTACAATGAGCCAGGAGGACAAAAGCGTCTGAATCAGCGCGCATAATTGCGATGTTGGCAACAGTCTCTCCTAATCCAAGCGGCAGTATCCTCGTTGGGACCATAATTCTCGCCTTTTTTGTGAAAACACTCGTAGATTTTGTCCCGCGACGGGTTATCTTCGTTCTCCGTCTGATTTCTTTCCCTATATCACCGCTCATCTTTTTTTCCCCTCTCCTTTTTTATGAAGGAAAGGAAAAACAGAAACATCTAAATCGCGCTGGAAGATCGTAAACGATTGCGTGTCTTCGTTAAATCCTCGCTGACCCTAGAGAAGGGAAGGTTCGTTGAAAATGGGACTCTAATTGCTGGATCAAAGGATTTGTTCGCTGCGTTCTTAATGACGGCCGGCTTTCTTGGAAGGAAAGATCGAAATTAAAGATCTACGCGGATCCTTGCCATTGTTTCAAACCAAGACTTTAAGACTCGCCTCATTTCACTGATATCCGCGCTTTTGTCAATGATTAACCTTCGTTTAATTATCATTTCATTTAAATTTATTACATTCCCCTGCTTGTCACTTTCGTTTACAAGTAATTAAAGCTTGGATGTTCATCTTCCAAGGCATTTAGAAATATAATAAGTCCTATAATAAGATTTCTTGGGTTTCTCGATGTCCAATGGATTTTTCTCCGTTCTCAATACTTAAAACAGAATCCTTCTGAACAATCCTCAAGACGATTTTTCTTTCTTTTTCAGAACCTGAAGAACCAGATCATGACGACGAACGTTTGGGTGGAACAAGTAAGTACCACGATACTTTTCTTTATAATCCAGCTTTCTTAACCGTTTCTTTCACAGTGTAAAATATTTTTCTATAACGAATCATTTGGAAATTTGCAAAGGAAGAAAGAGAAATGAAACGGCGTGTAGTTTAACAATTTCGCGCGTTCAAATTAAATATGTGATCGCGTTTCTATTTTCCCTGTTATCGCGTCTGGTGTTGGAGGTTAACGAACCGTGACGTTCTTGGTTCGTAAAACGATTCTCCGGGGAGAGAAAGGGAGGTTGACAGGAAGAGAAGACAGGGGAGAAAGCTTATGCCTCCTGGCGAACGAGAAACGTTTGAGAAAGAGTCGCTCGACGAGGGAAACGCGATTTCCTTTCTCGGATAACGATAGCTGGACAAAGCAACGATTGAAGGGAAAGGGGGTAGGAAAAGGGAGAAATTCAGCTGGTAGCAGCGTCGCTTTAACCGACGGGATCTCCACTTTCTGCGAGATCGCGGGCGGTTTGGAATTTCAAAGCAGACAAATTTCATCCCCTGCCTGTTGACAACGAAATCCGAATCGCGAAATGCTAGCAGATCCTTATTGACACACACCGATCCCTCGAAACTTTCTTTCCCGAACTTCAATCCTTCTTCAGAATTTTTCATTTTCAAAGTTTTTCATTTTCTTCCATCTTTCGCTATTTCAGTCCGCACAATTTCATTGCAATTTTTATTTTATAACATAATTGTTTAAATTAATATTTCTCTAATTGAAGGGTTGGGAGTAAAAATCAGTCTTCTCTATTTTTATTAATTTTATTGGAATTAAAAAATCTCAATTTCTATTATACATAGAGCTGCCTAGCTTTCAATTATTATACACACTGGATTATTTAAATATTTCCATTATTTATAGTTTTATAACAAATTTAAAAAGATGGAAACATTAATTACTTATAACTTTTAATTGCGTTGACCGATCTCGATTAAATTTTCAGCATACACGTGATTTAATTAAATCTACGAAAGACATATTTTAAATTTTCATTATAGATTCGCATAAAAAAGTTACCCTTCACTATTTTTTTCACAAAACGACACAAGCACATACTTTAGTAAATTAATTTTTATAGTCATTTGGTCCAATTTTAATTGAGATATTCTGTTTTAAACAGGGTCCACTTATTTTCCTCCCCGACTGTATATACAGCATCAGCATTTGTGAAAATCAAACGGTAATACATTGAAATTGATTGAATTTACAAGCTCTCAGTGCGCGCCACATTCGTTATACTAACAACAAAAATCTGAAACGATAACGGGGCTGCGAGGATAGGTTGATATCGATTTCAATCTTGTGTATCGACAAGCATAGTTGACGTATCGAAGTGGATTTTTTGATCCATCATCCAGCAATCAGATTTCCGATTTCCAAACTGCCCTCCTCCTTGTCCGCCGTTCTGTAAACCCGTTTCAATTTCAATTTCAATTCCGACCAGAACAAGAAACCAATCCCCGATCCGGGGGTCTCCATCAACCTTCGTAATTGAACTTTGCTTTCGCGGTAGGCCGGTGGATCGCTTCGAATGTTAATCAAAATTTCCTGGAACCCGTAAAAATTCGAAATTAATTTACTAATTGCCCTACGAGAAAAACGAACGACAACCGTGATCGCCGGTGCCAAGAATTGACTTTAATTTCTCTCAATTTTCTCCACCGACAGCTGACCGTCAGCCTGTTGGTTTTTCCTCTTGTTCTCGTTTCCTTGGCTCGCTCGCGATCGTTTGTCCGTGTCAATAGATCTCGCGCCTCTTTTTCCGCGCGATCCTCAGACCCCGAAAGCGGAAACAGGATGTAACACAGAGCGGGAGAAAAAAAGGAGCGAAGTGAGGGGAATCGTGTCTTTGGCCAGGATCGTCTGCCAAGCGAAGTGGCTGTCTTTTATCAGCCTCCGCGAATTGTTTGGCATTGTTGGGACGGCGGAGGATGCCGAGGCTCCTACTTTCTTTCGAAAGTTCCAGCCGATGCTGGAGGAGTAGGTAAACAATCGCGCGTACGCCGCTCGAATGACACCGGGAAACGTTTTAGTCCTGTTGACTCTGGCAGACGTGATGGATAACGAAGTTCTCGGCTTCTCCGTTGATGTTCCTTTCGACGAATCGCCGTCATTTTGGCAAAGGTGTCTCCTACCTTCACTGCTGACTAATCTTTCTCGTTTAATTCCTCGCTTCATTATTTCTATGTCGATTCCTTGCTCCCGCAGTTAAAACTCTTAAATTATCAAATCTGATGAGGAAAATGGATTCAGACGTCAAGCGGAATGTTTTGAGAAACCCTCGCGTACGATAATTATTGCATCTGTTAAAAGTATCACAAGTAGAAGGGAATGATAAACTGTGCTCGATAATTCAAAGTTGCTCCGCTATTAATTGTCCACGTGTTTTCGTTAGGATTCTCAAAACTTGCAGAGTTTCCTGAAGTTCGTACATCGACTGTGAAAGGGTAAATAAAGAATTCCTTTCGACTGTGTATAGACGCTTTACAATTTTCTGTTACACGCGAGCAGAGAAATTTTTTAATTCGACACGAAAACCGTTCTTTGTTACCGCGCTTCCGGTTTATTCTCCCTTTAACCTTTTTATCCTGAGCTCGCGGAAACGGCTGCGAATTTAATATAAAGAATTGTTCCCGAACGAGAAGCAGCGCGGTTTTCTGTTGCTTTCGGCACGCTCAACGGTTGTTTAATAATTGTAAACGCAGAAGGAACGGCTTTTACTGAAATTACGTCGGACCGGATGTTTTATCCTGTTGCCGACCCTTTGATACTACTACACAGACGATAGAAACGTTTCAATACCCTTTACCTTCTTCTTTCTTCCCTCCGTTTGACTTTCGAAATTGCCATTTAACGGACGTCCAATGAAAAGCGCCCGTTTTTCAGTCCTTCGACGATACGAAAACGTCTTCGATGAATTATCCTCTTCCGCTAACTGTGTACGACAGTTGGCGCAGATTCGTAAATCAAATCGTGAAGTAAAACTTCTCTTGATTTTCGATTTCTATAGCCGAACTTGTAGGTTCGTTCGTTTTCAAGATAATCGATGATTCTTTAACTTTTGAGACCGGGGACCTTGGAAATCTACATACTAGACTGTCGCTCAATATTTCCACGAACGATACGTTTCCATCCCCGATGATCGATCCTTCATCGAGACCGAGGGATTAAGGAGGAGTCTACGCGATCGTTTGTTCCTCGCTCCTGTCAAACGCGAATGAGCCACTTGGTGACTCGTAAAACTTCGCCACCCCTCGGCGATAAATTACGCTCGCATTCAGATTTGCCGGCAACAAGCGGCTCGATACAACCGACCTCGTAAAACTACCGTCTGCGGCCACCTCGAAGACGAAACGACACCAATTTACCAACTCTCCTCGTCCCCTCTGAAAATAACCATCAGAGTGGATTCTTTTATTCACAATAAATTTCTATGTCACGAGTATTAAAATTAAAGAACTGCCCTAAAGATTCGAGTGAAATTAAGAAGGGCGTAATTACTTTTCCTCCTTGTTTTTAATCGGTTCAAACTCGCGAGTCGTTTCCGCGACTGGTCGCGAGTCTACGCTCTCTTTTATTTTTTTCTATCTGGATCCTGCCGGTTGCTGAACTCCCAACAGCCAATTATCCGGTCTGCGTGGATTCCTCGAACGATGGGGGGCGGAGGGGTTGAACGCTCGGCGATGCATGGGGTGGAAACGATGACACGAATGGCGAACGCGGTGGAAAAAGGGACGGGGTGGATAGTAGGCATTCGTTTAACGGCGTGTGGAAGTTTGCGAAAGTTTGCTGCCAGCATCGGTTTATCAGCGCAGTTTATTTTTACGAGCAGACAGGTGACTGTGCTCTTCAACGTTTCACGCGACCTCCCCTCATCAGCTTTCGTGATTCTTTCGTCAGCTGTTCCCGGGACATCGCGCGAAACGGTAATGGTGTTGTTTTAGCGGAAAAATTATGGGGGAGGATTAACATCAGAACTGGTTTCAAGTTTCTTACATTAAATTATAAATTTTATCGAGATATTTTCGTTGAAATGTACGTTGGCTATTGTCGAGATAAAATTATGTTCCATTCTTTATATAAGGGTAAACCCTAGAGGTAACCCTCTATCGGAGGGTTTAGATAATTAAAAATTGTGCAATAAATTTTTCTTCCAATACAGAAACGGTGACTTTGTTTCAACTATTACGGACACTAAATCGAGTCGAGTTTACGCCTCTTACGTCGTACCGCATCGCTATTTTCTCGAGTACCAAGTTTCTTGCGCTCAAAAGGAATTATCAGTTTGCGGGACGTAGAAGCTAACGTAATCGGGATTTGTCCGGAGTTTGGCTTCCTCTGCTAGATAACTATTGACGAGTTTCGACCTCATCTTCGAGATCGATTGACGTTCGTTTGCAGGGTCCACCTTAATAGTATTTAGGTCCAGCGGTGGAACTCGAAAGGAGCATCTAAAGTTCTGTAACGTAGATCCCTCTTCCGTGTATCGTTTCAGCTAAACGATTTATAAAATAATAATAGACTTAAAGAGATGACACGGAAGTTCCTCTATCTTATTCTAAAACTGTGCATCGTTTTTTCTGATTTTTATTTTATTTTCCCTGTTGCATCCCCTTTACCGAGGTACGAAAATAAACGCGACTTATTTTTGTGCCGTTTCTGCTTGCAGGAGTGGAACGATTACAAGCTGAAGTGGAACCCGGATGATTATGGCGGTGTCGACACCCTCCACGTGCCGTCGGAACATATATGGTTGCCGGACATTGTTCTTTACAACAAGTAAGTAAATTTAATCAAGTTTCTTAAACAGGCACCGTAAGTTCGTCTCTTAGTGATTTAAATTTTAATCCAAGATATGGTAGATACCGCATTTTAATTTCACCCTCGGGGTGTTTCTTAATTAAGTTTTATCGCCGCAATAAAAGTAGAGTCTTGCCGGAGTAAATTCGAAAATTTATATTGCTCGGAATCGGTCGAACTTTTCGAGAAACAAGAAAATTGGTGAACTTAAGGTGTCGTTGGCTGTTTCAACGGCGCAAGGCGTCGCTTCGCTGATAAAAAGTGATAAAATATACGACCGTGACCGAGAAGCAATTTGCCCTGCGACGTCTTGCACGAACGGCTGCGAGCCGGCCTGCGGAAGCAATTTGTCCGTTCGAGAGATTTTTATTTTTACAACCGGAAAGGGCCACCTTAAACAGCTGTTCGATAAGTCTCCTCCCACGTTGGATATTGCGAAAGCTCGACGTTCGGTCTCGTTTTAAGCTTTCGTAATTTATATCGCGGATACATAACGGGCTGGCAATAAACGTGACCGTAAACGCGGGTTAAACGTCTATTCCATCAGCGTAAAATTTCAACTCGTTGGAAAGTCATCCGTTAGACTTTCCAATCGAATCGTTAGAACTCACACATACAACTCGCAATCTAGAGATCCACGGTTCAAATCCTTGGTTCCCAACATTTTTTATTTTTTATAATGATAATTTGTCTCCTTTTGAATAACTATTACATAAAAATTATCATAAAAAAAAAAAAAAAAAAATTGTTGGGAACCAAGGATTCGAACCGACGACCTTTAGATTGCGAGTTATGTGTTTAACCACGGAGCGGGTCCATGACTCGCAATCTAAAGGTCCTCGGTTCGAATCCTTGGTTCCCAACAATTTTTTTTTTTTTTTTTATGATAATTTTTATGTAATAGTTATTCAAAAAGAGACAAATTATCATTATAAAAAATAAAAAATGTTGGGAACCAAGGATACTATCTTTTAGTACGTATTCTCATCGACTGCGTGCTCTTATACCACCTTTCTCTAGAGAAGGCAATCTTCGGACTAGAATACTCTTGACAATCCCCAGTGCCAAGTAAATCCTAGGAATCATTATTCAAGACAAGGCGACCGTCATCCGTGCCATCGTCGAGCGTTCCAAATGTAGCCATAATATTTCACCGAGCGTTAATCTGGCCCGGAGTTGATCCCCCTTTGGCCCATTCTTTTCTCCGCGGTCGGGCAGCGTGTATCGGGCACGGGTCACGCTGGCCCGGCTCGTCCGTCACCTTGGTCCGTCTCATACTTCATAGGATTTTAGCGGGAAGTGCAGAGCACGGTATCTCGTAAACTAGCCGCGGAATATTCCACCAGGCTACGTGACGTTTTCACCGGCGTCGGTTGGGGCGATTTTGAAAATCCAGCCAGAAGGAGAAGGAGTGGTTCGGGCGCCGCATACGTCGCACGTAACCCAGCCTCGGCTAACTCTGAGAAATAGAATCTACTTTACCGTACGGTCGAGACTTTTACGAGGAACCCGGATGGCTCGTGTTTCTCCGACGTCGACTTCGTCAGAGATTCTTCCTTCCGCTTCACGGGATACGAAACGAAATCGATGCTCCCTGTGTATCTTAACCTAGCATTTTTCCCGGTTTCCATTAGCGGAGACAATTATTGGGCCTGGCCAGGGCCACGGCTAAACGGTCGGCTAAATTGTTTCGGTTAACGAGTCAAGTTCGCGGGGGAGTTTAACACGTTCAACTTCCGTAGGATCGAGTGAATTTTCACAGTTATCCGTTGGAATGATGCTCCGCACGGTAGTTTGCTTTGATTATTCTTTCCTTAACGATGTAATTACCTATGCCAGCGTTCCGCTGGGTTCTATGCAGGTAATCGGTAGCTCGGCGCTCAACGGCGCGAAGAAATTGAATTCAACTCGAGACACACATGCCCCCCTTTGCTGTTTCTGTTTATCCATGTTGCTTTGCTTCGTGTAATTGGATTGCCGGCTTCAATGGAGTATCTCTGATCTTCCGATGCCACTTTGAAGTGGTACGTTTGATACCCAAAGGGTTGTCTCGATCGAAGTTTATCGGTAATGCGTTTAGCTACGCAGCCTTTCGGCGGGTCTTTATTTCTTCGGATGATCCCGTATTAACGCGCTTCGACAGGTAGCGGAATTCCATTATCACGGTTCACCACCGCACGGTACTCAACTTTATTTAACCAGTTCACTGCAGAATTTAATTTCAAAAAGTACGTAGAAGCTTTATTGGTAATATGACATTTTTATTACTTCTTATTGAAATTTGGAGTTTTTACAGTAAATGGTAATTTTTTATTTTGCACAAGTATATACATCAACCATACCGAAATAAAATTAAATGGTTAACACACAAATTTTTTACAAATAATTACAATAATCTTTTTTTTTTCAATAGATTAAAACATGTGTCCTGCCAGGTTAACAATAATCCCTGTCAATGTAAACGTTCGATAACGCGCAAGGTGTACGATTAATAATGCGTTAACACGAACATTTTCCCGTTTACCCTGACAAGTGCGTCTCATTGTGCTCTCGAGCGTTGTCCCGTAAAACCTGACAGCCAGAGACGCGTCTGGATCTCGACGAGTTTATTTCAATTACGCATTGAAGTGCTTTCGACGCGGCACGCGTTCAATGGAAAATCATAAAGAACCTTCTCGAAGTCGAAACTCTCGACATACATTACGTCGTTTCAATTACTCCGAACCGATGGGGTAAGGAAGGGCGAAGAGGAGCGAGAGGGGTTAGGAGGAATCGATTGTCCCGTCGGCGTTTCGAAAGGCTCAAAGTATCGGGGGCTTTGTGTAGCCCCGACAGCATGCAAATGTGGCCTCTCTTCGATTTCGCCATCCAGAAGGGCGAGGCTGACGGATAGAAAAGTAATTTGTATGGTATATTCGAATCTGATTAATAATTCACCGCGGTTGCCCCCGGAGGACTTTGAAAAGGAAGTGGCCCGTTTGTGAAACGGGAATCATCTATGTAGTCGTCGTCGCGGCTGCGATCCAAAGGATTTCATTCGTGATTTCAGGATATCGAGGGAAGCGTTATAATACGGCATCGTTTATATCAGTTGAATTTTGATAACGTCGTTCGTTTGACGTCCCCGAGACCCGGTGACCGTATTCCTTTCAACAACGCTACCTTTGACCACTTTATCGAATTTCAAGCCTCTCTGTCGAAGGCAATTTGCTGTTTAATAACTTGGTCACGGCTTTGCCGCGCTGTTACAGACGAAAGTTTGTCGATTGCTTTTCTGACGTTCCCCGGGGACCCGAAGATGAACTGAATTATTGAGAGTTATCTGGATTCTGGTATTTAACGAGATCGTCTTAATATTTCTAAGATTTCAGCAACTAAACGTTTCAGAAATATTTACTTTTCATTAAGTGCGGAATTGCGGTATGTTAAGTGGCCCTGAAAAGACTGATAGTGTGTGGGTGGAGGTCCCATGTATATAGGTCTCTGACCTTCCATAACTTGACGTGAAAAATTGAATTTTATATTTCATAATTAAAAATATTATTTTCCTTCTAAATCAAAATTAACGCTTAGCTGGTATATAATGCTTACAGTGCCAGCTAAGGGTTAATATTAATATAATCAAAATTTAAATTTTGACAGTTCTTTCTTTGTAATTCCATTTTCCTAAAGGAAGACTACTCTAATCAAATAATATAATCAAAATTTACATTTTGAAAGATCTTTCTTTGTAATACCATTTTCCCTAAGGAAGACTACTATAATCAAATAATACAATAAAAATTTAAATTTTGAGAGTTCCTCTTCCTTTGTAACTCCATTCTCCTTAAGGAAGACTCCTTTGCTTAACACTGTACATATGCATTAAATGGCTATTTTGACTGTCAAAAGTTATGACAATTTATATATAACCAAGTTTCGGATTGGAGAGGTTTGATGATAGTCTAGCAAGGAGAGACTGCTCCGTTTGATTAACCGTTCTCGTTTACAACTTCGGGGTCAACGCCCATTCTCAGCCAGCTAGAATTTCCCAGACCGCTCTGCGACAGTTCTTCATCGACCCTTCGACTGGTGGCGAGGTTCCCTTAGCTTTCGAGGGTGTATCAATTAAATCGAAGTCAAGTTGACCCGGTAAACTTGACTTCTGAGCTCCCTAGTTTCCCACTTTACAGCGACGTCTTGATCTCGCCATTTCTGCGTACCCAATCAATATCATTACGATACGTATTTCCAATCAATTTAGAACAATTCAATCAACGCGTTCGTCAAATGTATTCGATTCGCCGGAATTCTCTCTGTCGTTCTGTTTCGTTTCTTCGACTGGTTTCTTGAGAAAACCACTCGGAGAAGAAGTTTCTTTCAAGGGAAACAAAATATTTCGGTTCGTTTTTACGAGAGTGATTTGTATGTATACATGTAAATTAAGCGACCAGTCGATGGTAGCACTTATTAGAAGAAAGTGGTCTCGGTGAAAAGAAAGTTTCTCCTCTGTAACCGAAGTTTATCCGAAAAAAGGCTCTTTCGCGGGGACGAAAAGTTCTCCGGGGGAAGTTTTTCCACCGGTGATCGATAAAGGGTGTCGAGGCTGAGGGTTTCTTTCGCGAGCCTGAAGGAACGTCGACAGATCATTCGGTGAAATTTAATTAAGAAACGACCGACTCGAAAGCGAAACAAACGATCGATAACCTGGTTCGCGACGTTATAACACTTTGATAAATCTGAATTCGATATTCCCTGCTCGGTAATTATCTGGCGTCGGGTAATGAAATTTGGAGGAATTTTTATGATGCATCGAAAATATTTCATTTGCTTTCAGAGAGAAAATTCGGTTTCTTTGAATTTCAATTTCCAATATTCGAATAATAAACCTTTGAGCTCCCCGGGAAATGAATGCAACGATTCATTGTTAATAACAGAAATGGTGCGTGTTATCGATAAATATTATAACATAATAACATTGTAATTCGTTGTTTAATAGA